CAAATGCATTAAACTTCGCTTTCGTGCTTTCGAATATCCCTTTACTACACATTAAAAGAAAACCTACCTGACCCAGAACGGTAAAGAAAAAATTCTGCTGTTTTACATCAAAAAAATAAACTAAACATAATGCAGCATCTAGATGTCATTTCTTTACTGTATTACCGCTGATATTACTCTTAAAGTTACTGCTAAAAATTTGCTGTATGTTCATTGATTCTAAAATAACAGGCTTTTTACAGTTGCTGTAAACGCAGTCAAATACAAAATAAAATTGAACAGCAATTAAAGGTGATATTTTTTGCCATCAAACTTAACATAAAATCTTCACAAAAAAAAGAACAAAATAGTGTATCAAAGCGTAACAACCGTGATAAAACTTTATTTGAAGGGTGAAGAGGAGGAAAATGATTCCGTCTCCCCCACTCTCTGCCCTAACCTGGAAAAAAATGACCAAGCAAACGAAAGCGTCTTTAAATTTCTAACAATATGCTGCTGGCCAGTAATCAAAGAACGCTCTTGCACAATATCACACATAAACGAGTGAAGTGCATAGTCAATATCATGTTAGCTGTCCTCGAAAAACTAATAGATTTGTAATAATCACTGTGTCCCAGGCATTTATTTCGTTTTTGAGTCTGCTCTCCAAATTCGACGGTCAAATAGAGTGCCTGGCAAAATGTCAGTGGAGTACGCAAACCACTCGTCTATTTACTGGAATTTGCATTACATAAGCCAGTGTTTCTCAAGCTTTCTTGGCCTTCAAATTTTCTTTTCCTGCTTCCTGCATATACAGAAACATTTCTACTAACGCTTCTCTTCAAATCGACTTAAACCCTTTTTTGTTAGTCTGCAGAACTGAATAAAGTATAATACAAACCAAACATTAATTTTTGAGAATTTGCTGCCATATATTTCCCGAATATAAAGCCAAAAATAAGATCAAATTCTGGTTCTTGGAAGAAAACTTTATTTGTTTAAAATCGGGCAATTGCCCAGACGATAACATATTGCGCGACCAAACTTTCATTTTTCATAATGACAGCAGGTATCAACATACAAATACGATTACATCGGAAGACTAAGGAAAAAGAACAAAAAGGAAAGGGAAACAAAAAACCGCTCAGGGTACTAAGAACTTTAAGCTACAGCCTCTTTATTCTTGAAGGTTCAGAATGTCTAACCAGCTAAACAGTAGTTTGCAAAAGTAACTCAGCATTTCTGACCAATTGGCAGGAATGTTTTTTTTTTTTTCTATTAAGTTATTAGAAGACGTATATTACAGAAAGTCCGGAAGATACAGATGGAACTATTGGTTCCCTTCCATTAATGAGTTCATAAATGTTAACATTTCACTAGAACAGCAGCTTTTTATAAACACCGCTATATTATTCGGTCCTCTAGTTGAAACTACTTGGCAGAATAGTAGGAAAACTAGCTGCCGGCACTTTATTCGAGGTAGCAGTTTCACAACTAGAAACCGAAGAGATGAAATTTATGCTGATTTTTGGAACTTGGTAATTTGGAAGAGACGTTTCGATAAATTTAATGCTTTATATATACTAAAGTGTTTCAAACCTTTTCAGTGAAATAAAACGACGGTGTTGCTTTTACCCGTCGGGACCTGACTTTCTTTTGTCTCACATGCAGTTTCTTGGTGAACGAAGTCTAATAGCTGGAATTTTTCTTGTTTAACTGGTAAAATGTTTTCGCACCTATGCTTCCTAAAAACTTGTGACCACTAAATGTGAAAAACTAACAATTAGAGTCAATGTAACTGATGAACAAACTGAGAATTAAGTTCTGAGATACCTCTTGGACCGTCAAAGAGGGCTACAGTCCGACTGTTATTCAACCATCGGTAGAAGTACGAGAGCAACTAACCGCTGCATCTGTACAAACAAAACTCTTTATTCGCGCAGAACGGTTCAATTTGCCAAACAGTTCCATGCTGACAAAGTTCTGTAATTTCACTCATCTACTAGCTTCTAAACACTAATAACAGTGAACTAATATGCGCTCTAGAAAAAGCCTCACCATGACACTGCTGATCAGCGTGTACTGATCTTGCATTAACTACATTATTGCTGCCGTATGTTTCGCCTTGAATGCAATACAATGTGTATATATATATATTTTTCCAAATTACCGAGTTCAATTTACCGAGTTACCAAATTACCGAGTATATATATATATATATATATATATATATATATATA